TAAGAGTGGTAATATCAGATGGTGCCAACGATGCTCTGCAAACCTTGAATATACATTCGTAGCACGATGTCGATACATATAAGAAAAGGAGACAGTCAGGGACACAACAGCACTGGGCGTAACTGAGTGTTAGTATCACGGGTCGTCGAAGGCTTCTGCATCCCATACTCTGCAGTAACCACGTCTGCTCTGAGTATTTTCCGATCTATTTCAAGGGTGAAAATTGAGTGATCAGACATCAAGTGCAAACCGAGATGTAATAATAGTGCGAGCACGCAAGGCTTCGACGTAAACCGAAGTGGACAGGGAAAAAATGAAACAGAGATAAAAGAAGTAACGGAAGTTAGACGAAGATGATAGCGAGGAGAGAGAGAAAAGTGAGGAGAGAGAGGAAATAGAGGTATGACTTTACGACAGATATCCGAAATGGATGCATCCAATGGCGAGATGATCAAAGAGACACGAACAAGTAGACAAAAGACACAATCAGAAGATTCACGACGACACTCAACTACAAGGCTGCGACGGAAGCCGACCACCAGCTCGACAGCGTGCTGTAGTAACCTGGAGTGTGAGAACGCCCCGCACTCTCCGACTAATAGGGCTACGGCGCACACGTCGGTTTGCCTGTCCGACGACTCGCGACGTCGTCGGGCCGGAAAATCGACGCGTCCCGATGGAGGTGTATCCGGCAGGGCGACGCTTGTTCTGCGCGAAGGACGACGTGTGCCAAGTGGCCGACAGATGCAGGCACGCGCCGAGAGGACGAGAACCCCTCCACTGTCAGGTTGCGGTGCAGATGGGCAAGCGGACTCCGCTCGAGTGGGTAAGTCGCGGCCTCCGTAAGTCGATCCCGAGATTCTCGTGGAGATCAATCGCCGTCCAATCGTGAGGCCTCAGATTCTGCCGGAGCCGCCACGACCAGTCTTGCTTGTTGAGCTCGCTGCGAAGGATAGGCTTGATTGTTCGTGTTCAGGAGATGATCCATGGCGTCTTGCAGGCGTTCGTCGTGGTAGCAAGAAGGTGTATTGCCGCCCGCCCTTATGAGACGCTCAGCAGCCGCCGAGATTAGACATGCTTCCGCCTTCTGGGAAGAACTCGCGTCAGTTGGGACGATAGCCGGGACTGTGATCTATCTTACCGGCTTTTAATGACCTGTCGCCTGGGGTGCACCGCGCTCGGTAGCCAGAAACTGGACCAATCACCGACAGTGAACCCCTGGTCCATGAGGGCGACTTCCTCGTCAGTCTCCTCGCGCAGATTCATGAGTGGTCCGCAAGACTTATATCCTCGGAAGCCGTTGTCGACGAGATCGGGGTACTTGTCGCGGATGAGATCTTGGGTGGAAGTGATGAGACGCCAGCGCCGCCCAGGAATCGGCCGCGTGCAGATCTGATTGTTGTAAATTCTAATCTGTAAGTCGAAGCCAGAGACAGATTGCCATGGAGGACCGTCGTCCTCCTTTTGGCCAATTTGAGTGACGTCTGGGGTGTTTGCGATGGGACGGGCGACAACATCGAGGGAAGACTCAGAGCGTTCGACTGTGTTGGGGATATTTCCGTCTCCGCCGCTCTCGTCACTTGAGTCAACAAGGTATTGACTGACGGAAGGGACCGCAGGATTATTGAGGGAAGGATTGATGGCGTGCGAGAAGCGAGTACGAGAGAAGGCGACGGGAGGCTGAAGGTCGGCGTTTGAAGTGAGCGGTGTAGCGAGTTCAGCATTGATCGGGGGAAGGGGTGTAAGCACGACGAGTGGTGAACTGGCAGGCGATGGAAGACCGGTGATAAAGTTACGGTTTCCGGCGCCGACAGCGTGAGAAGAGGTCTGCTAGATGTGAGTGACAATTGCGTTACAGAGCCTGCTATGCCCTCACCCCTTGAACATCATCTGCAACCGTGACTTTGTTAGAAGCTTTCTTTGATACCTGAACGCCAATAAGGTTAGTGGGCTTTCCGGGGTGAGATAAACAACGTCAACGAACCTTCACACCGACAACGATCGCTGCGAGGCAGACAGCGGTGAGATGGCGAGCCATGAACGTCCTCAGGTTCAAATCTTGAGGCTGAGGGAACATGCTGACCAAGCTGGCTGGAGCAGATTCGCTGAATACGCGAGTGGGGGTCCAAACTTCATGCGGGTAAGGGCGTGGGGAGCGGTCGAAGGTGAGCGAGGACGAGGTGATGAGAGGAAGGTAAAAGGAAGACGAAGTCTGGAGGGTGAGGATACTGAAAATTTGGTTGACGATGGGCGCGGTGGGTGAGAGTAAATTTACGCCGAAAAATAAGAGGAGGAAGGGAAGGATGAGCATTGTTTCTTCGGCTACGGGGGGCGGGAATCCGAACGGCGATGCAATTGGCGGGAGTCGCGCGATGTGACCGTGTTTGTTCAACGTGAGGAAAAAATGGGTGTTCTGGCGTCATGAAAGGGAACATCCTGTCCTTATATCTTTCGTTACAAGATTCGCTTTGCAAGAGTGTCCGAGTAAATTCGCGTGTGGCCGCATTGTCTAGCCGACCGGTCTTCGCGACACCATCGACCACACGGACTTGAATGGCATCAAAAGAAGAACTGACCCAAAAAACAGCATCCCTGAGCAATCCCTGAGGCATCTACCGGAGCTGGGACAATGCGGGTCTGAAAACAAAAGACAGCACACCGACCGCTGCTCTTATATTCGAATCAGAGGCTCCTCTGCGGAAGATTACAAGGGTTCAGTGCAGACATAATGATTGCATGTTGTACAACCGCTCAATAGAACAAGGGGGCTCACAGGATGCTAGGAACCTCTCGGCAGATCCAGTTCCTCTCGGCACGACGGTGTCGGACATCGCACTGGTACGATGCGCGAAGCCCGGCAGCTAGCTAGAAAGCGTGTTACCCAGCGATTACTTTACCGCGACGTTTCTGTAGCATTGCAGGATGCATTCCGTGAGCATAAGCATCGCCGAGAACCAAGACGGCTGGTGTCGTGGAGATGATTCAAGCCTGAAGCTCAGGGCGGTGCGGTCGGTACTGAGTCAAGCCAGTCAGGCAGAGTCAACACTCGAGTCGATGGATCACGTGTCCCACCCTTACAACTCACCCCTAATCCGGCACATCTCCCCCCACCATACCTACCACCCATCATCTCCCCTTCGCGCACGCGAGACCGCGTCTTAGACACCTTACGGTAGCCTTGTTGCGGTATATAAATGCAGAGTTAAGAAAAAAAAAAAGATGGATCACGTGTGCACCCGCCGACCACGTCATGACCTGACTGAGTACATACTCCGAAGCCTGATTCCGAGTCATAGTATGTTCCTATACAACAAGACCTCTACAGTACAACAAGTTCCGAATATCCAAAGTCCATCCATTCTACGCACCACCTAGAGCTCACCGTCCTTGTCGTAAATGTACTCCCCGTAAATTGGCTGCCACTGCAACTCCCGCGCCTTCTCCCGTACCTGCTGATCGTCCCAGTCCACATCCGCGCATCCTTCCGCGATAGCCTGCTCGGCAACGGCGACGGCAACTTCGAAGTTGACGTCGGGGGCGTCCTCAAAGTCAGGCAGAAGCGCAGCGTCGGGGTCCTTGAGCGCCGGCGAGAGCGAAGCGAGGCGGCGGGTGCCCGCAAGGATCATGCCGTCGGTCAGGCCGCGCGACCGCGCGAGGACCGCGCCGAAGCCGAGGCCGGGATAGATGAGCGCATCTAGGAGTACTTCATAAGTAATGGTGTAGTATAGTAACCACGATATATCACGCACTGTTGCACTCGGCGATGCTGAAAAGTGATATTGA